TTTATTGAATAAAAACATCATAGTTGAAGGCTTACTTGATAATATTTTCTATTTTTATTGTGTTATGCACAATATATATGTACAAACATATATATCTCATCACATGTATATTTTGAATGACACGGTAATGATTTGAAACTTTATATCATTATTGATAGTAAAGATGCCCCTTTACCAAGAGACTCCTAATTTATGCTGTTGGCAGGCAACTTCTACTGAGATCATTCCAAAAGTAGGAAATTGAATAATTATTGTATAACTCATTCTAATGGTTTCGTTAGTAGCTTTCCAATCATTTTAGTAACCATACAGTTTCCTCTAAATTTGAAGACTTCTCTGCTTATTTCTCTGCTAGAGTCAAGACACACATAAACAGTCAAAAAGAAGAAACATTATTGCAGCTATAATTTACAGGGTGAAGCAAAAGGATTATTCATTTACTCAACAACTGTTTATCAAATCCTTAAAATATATGAATGCAAAAAAGAAAAAAAAAAGAAATGATACCTGAATTCAGGAATAGCATAATGCTGAAATTAACTTGCAAACAAATAATGACAACACAGTAAAATAACAGGTGGGGTGAGGGCACAGGCAAAGAAACACCTAATTCTACCTAATTCTAGTTCACTTGCAGAAGAGGCAGCATCTCAACCGATTGGAATTAAAAGTCAGTAAATCTTAGGAAAATCTAGTCTTGATCACAACAATGTAATAAGTACTAAATGTTCCCTACAGCTAAAACCAGCTATAAAGTTAGACAAAATAAATGAAGCAGCTGGTTTCAGGTGTTGAACAACAGGCAGTATAGAACATAGATCCTTGAGAAAAGTGAGCCCTGAGATCATCCTGGTTTCTGCCTGAGGGCAGTTTTCTGCTGCTATGCATGCTGTTGGAGCCCAATCTGAGCGACAGAATCGCTGAGCTGAGGGGGGCAGAACCTGCAGTTTCAGGCTGCAGAAGCATCTGTAATTTGCAGAGCAGACCACTAGAGACAGTAGCTATGCAATGGGTAGGCGTCAGAAGTATACAGCAGATTTACTGTACATTCTTAACCGAGTATTTGGATGTGCTTGAAAGGCTTGGTAGATATTGCCAGCTTTGGGCTGAGAATTGGAGGATCATTGTTTTCACCACACAAAGTAGAAGTTACACAGTGCAGAAATGTTGGCCAGGCTAGAGAAGAGACTGAGCTGAGCACTTCAGGTATTCACATGAGATTCCACAAAGCCATGTCTTAAGAGTAAAATCATGCTCTAAAGTGAATGCTACACCAACCAAAATAAATGCTCCCTAACAGAAAATAAAAACAAGGCTGACAAGACCAAATGCCTTCCAGAGAAAAAGTGTAAACTTTATAAAAAAAAATTTAAGTCATATTTAATAATGTGCCATCTACAATATCCAACATACAATAACAAATGCATAGGAACATAAATTGTGGGGAATTTTGGCCCTAATCAAGGAAATAACCTCATCAGTAGCAAGAACCGCCTGGAGATAATCCAGGTGTTGGAATTAGCAGTTAGGAACTTTAAAGTGGTTATTAAAGGTATGTGCAAGTAGATAAAGTAAAAGATGCTCATAATGGTTAGTCCAATGATGATCTCGGCAGGAAATTAGAAACTATCCAAAAAAAAACCAAATGTCAGTTCTAGTATTGAAAATGTAAGACCTGTAATGAAAAAGTCACTGAGTTTTTTTTTAACAACAGATAGGAAATGATAGGGGGGAAATAGTAAACTTGAAAACAAAATAATAGAAATTATCCAAACAGAAGAAGAGAAAAATACAGGGATTATATAAAAATGAGCAGGGATTCAGAGATCTTTGCAATAAGCAGCTTAATATATGGATAATTGGAATGCTAGCAGGAAAGAAGAAAGGGAAGAAAATTCATTTGAAGAAATAATGATCAGAAAATATCCCGTTTGGTAGAAAAATATCAAATTCCAGATATAAGAAGCTCAACTAATTCCAAACAGAATAAATACAAAGTCAACCTATGTAGACACACTATACTCAAACATCTGAAAACCAAAATTAAAGAGAAAATTGTAAGAGGAAGCTGAGAGGGAAAACAGGTTTCATACCATGGGACAGTGAACTTCACATTGGAAACACTGGAAACCAGAGACAGTGGAATGACATTTTAAAATTCTTTAAACGAAAAAAAAAAAAGCCGATACTTCTGTATGCATTGAGTATATGTTTCAAAACTAAAAACAAAATATATTACCACATAAACAAATGTTGGGAGAAATTAGTCAACTAACATGCATACAAGAAATACCAGAGTAAATGCTTCTGGTACAAGGACAATGACATCAGATGGAATCTAGAAAGGACTGAAGAGCAATAGAAATGGTAAGTATGTTGGAAAATACAAATGATGACTTTTAATTTTTTGAAAGACAGCTGACTAAAACAAAATAATAGCATGTTATTATGGAATTTATTGTGTACGTGGATAAAAAATACATGTCAACAATAGCATAATGGGTGGAAGGGGGTAAATGTTATTTTGCTATTGTAAATTCTTACATTTTAAATGCAAAGGTACAGTATTAACTCTAAGTAAATTGAGATATATTAAGGGTGGATATTGTAATTCCTAGAGCTAGCACAACGAACTGTAAAAAGAAAAAAACACGAAGAAAAACAACCTAACAATCCAATAGAGGAATTAAGTCAAATAGGAAGAAATTAAATAAACCAAAAAAGTCAGGGAAAATAGAAGAACAAAATAAAGTGGAAGAGACAAATAGCAACAAATATAAGTTTGACAGTCTTAAATCTGTAAAAAGAAAATCAAAGTCTAAGGGCCATCCTCCAACCCCTATGCAAAAGAGAAGGTAAAAGCCTCAGGCATCTATGAGAAACTGGCCCCACAAATCATACATTAAGGAAATTCCTTGCTAACCTTCCATAAGCAAGGGCATGCTAATCGTACCTGTGTCCCAGTTCCACACTAATAACAAATACAAGTTTATCCCTGCAGGTAGCAGAACTGACAGGACAGAATCAGACATTCTTCCACCTACTCAGGGACGTCTACATAGCTGATGCTTCCTTCCCTCCCTTTTTCCCTTCTAACCTTCCCCCTATTTTACGTAAAATGTAGATTTCCTGGGCCTCACAAGAATGTAACCAGTTTGTCTGATGAGGTACCCCACCTTTTTCTTTCTCTCTATATGCTTTTACATGCTGAAGTTTCCAACATTCCCTTCGGAAAAACAGCCACAGTTTGTCTGTGGTTCATGTTTTTGCCAGGTGCACCCTCAAAATCTTGGCTCAATAAACCTCCATTGATTGAGATTTTTACCTCAGTCATTTATTTGAGTTGACAAATCCAACAACCTCCGTAAATATGTTAAAATTAAATAGACTAAATATTTCAAACGAAAGGCAGAAATTGACAAACTAGATTTAAAAAAAAGACCCCACTACTATCCTCAAGGGACAAACTTAAGAAACAAAAGCACAGATAGGTTGAGAGTAAAAGAAACAAAAAGATTTAACATTCAACCAGAAAAAGAAAGGTGGTGTGGTTATTTATATCAGAAAAAGTACAATCGCAAACAGTATTTTTAGAGAAAATAAAGGGTCATTTTGTAATGATAAAAGAGTCAATCAGGAAGAGATAATAAAATGTGTATGTATACAAAACCTAAAAACAGAGCTTCAAAATATAATACATAGAGCAAAATTGATTTCTTTTAAAACTAATCATACGCATATACTCTCACTGATTCATTCCTGCATATATTTCTAAGAAATAAAGCATATTTCCACATAATTGCTTCTGTATGTAAGTTAATAGTTAGTCTTCATAATAACCAAGAGCTTAAAAACAATCCAAACGTCCATCGACAGGAAGATGGCTAAACAAATTGTGGCGTAGCCATACAATGGAATACTACTTATTAGCAATAAAAATGGTGAACTATTGATATGTGTGACAACATGGATAAATTTTAAATA